TTAAAAAGATATTAACAATGCGTTAGTGTATAAACAACTAAACTAAAGTACACATTTCAAGTACCAGTTTAAGGAATACAAAATACAATGGTTCAATACAGTTTTCAATAACAGCTGGTGGAGCCAGGCACACTCTCAGTTACAAGTTTTCATAAAGGAATACAAATACAAAACATTAATACAAAGAGAACGGTTTATGGGATTAAACCACTTTTACAAATGGGAATCTAGTCATTTACTTTCAGTAAACTAGTATAACATAAAGGACCTTTAGTGGTTAATTCTATAATTCCTTAGTTGCTACGTCATAGTTATACATGAGTAATATCCGATTGACAGTGAAATGTGTGACTTCCGCCTTACTTCCTGTTCCTTGTTTGGTTGTGGGCTTAGGGCAGATACACCCATTTGACTGTCCATTCGATATTGGGTTATATATAATCAGTATAAACTAAGTAATTACAGAGGGAAACTATTGAGGTTATCAGTTAATCACCTCAGGAAATATAGGATTTCCTGGAGAAACCAGTGAACTTATTCAAAGAACTTAGGGTATACTTAACAGAACTAAAATACTTATGAACTCACCAGCTTAAATGCTGATCTACTCTTTCCAAATAACTTGTATTCTTAGGAATCCAGTAGACAGGTACACTCCCGAAGCTTTTGAGAAGACTACCTAGTACCATACCGCGACTCTTGTCTTCTACTGTACCTACTTTAGTGTTTGAATATGTAATGTTTAAACACTTATGTAAAAATTATACTTATTAATGCAATGGTTGTTTGTACTTTGATTACTATATTGCATGTGTTGTGATACTTACCTAAAGTCCTCCGCCCCCGAATGTTTCCGCCATTCTGGTTTGGGGGTGCGACAAATTCCATTCTCGACTGTCTTTATATCGATGGAATCATATAGACGAGATCTTCAACTCTTGTTTAGATTGTTTTTCCTAACAATGGACCGATCTCTATTTCGGTTTCTGTATCGTACACTGCTACACTAGAACTTCTAAATATCATAACTTCCTCCTATGCAGCTGGATTTGGACGTCTTCTTATACGTACACTCTTGGTTTTGCGATTATCACGACTTTCATCAAGACTATTTATCCTAAATAGTCTTTTATCATAGGTGTATATATACATGACTGGTCGTTTATACTATAAGGTGATAATGGGGTGTTACATAGTTGATGGACTTTGCATTGTTGCCATAAATATGATGAACTTAAAGAAGAATTGACAATGTCTTGTGTACTACCACTTGGGATAACAGGCGGAATTTGTTTGAAATCTCCTCCAAAAACAATCACTTTCCCTCGAAATGGAAAATTTGAGTTTCTAGGATTATGACACCTGAATATATGTTTCAAAGTTCGATCTAAAGCTTCAAACACATGCTTGTGAATCATGGGTGCTTAATCCCAAATGATCAATGAAGTCTTTTTTTAATAAACTGGCGAGTTCACTATCTGGTGTTATGGAACAAACAGAATCGTCAGTAAGAACCAAAGGAATTATAAACCGTGAATGTGTCGTCCTGCCACCGGTTAATCATAAAGAAACAATCTAACTTGAATCAACATTTAACAATTTGAGCATTACATCTAACTGTGGCATATAATGTTTTCCAAAGATAGCTTTTACTCGTTCCACCATAATCGTAGACAAAGAAAACACTTCCTTCATTATTCTTAATTGCAGTCATGATATCATAAAAAATGCTTCGTTGCTCATATGTTAATGCAATAGAAATTTGATCGAACTCGTTCTTTAAATTTGGTATGTCATAATCTAGCTCCTCAGTGATAAGACGATTGTTTGAAGAAGATACATAATCAACATTGGGGCAAGGCATCCTTGTAAATTTTTTGAGACTTGAATTGTTACGAAGTAAAATTTGCTCAATATCAAACAAAGTCAAGTTCTTAATTTGATATTTGTTAAGTGATAAACCTAAAAGAAAAATGGTATGATAATTAAAATAAATTTAAAAATACAGTTGTTTGTATTATAAAATAATATTATATATTGAAAAAAATTCCTATTTTAAAATAAATAGACAATATTATAATACGTGGAGATTTTAATCTCTGTTGTTGAATGTACAAAATTTCATCCGACAAGTATTCTCATGTATTTTTCCACACAACATCTAGTCTAGACAAGTTGTTAGATAATAACATCGTAGCGAATAAGAACCGTAGATAATAACCGGATCCAGATTGACTTGCTTCCTTAATGGCTTCGATGTGTTATTTATCATCATCTAATATGCCTAAAGCATAACATGCATAGTCTAAGAGACCTATAGCATAACATGCATCCATATAATAACATCCTTAATGACACAGTACATTTTGGAGTCATACATAAACTGGTATCTATATATAAGCATAAATACATGTCATATTATATAGAAAACGAAAACTATTTTTGTATACAGAAAACGAAAACAGAAAAAAAAACAATTTTTGTATATAGAAAACGAAAACAATTTTTGTTGATAATTTTGGTTAACTTATAAACACAGGTTGTATAATAACTCTTCTCATTCATAAAAATGTATAGTTTTTTTGTTAACTTTGAACTGTTATGAAACAAGAAAAACAATGAATTTCGGGTAGAAGATGTTTCAATTTGTAATAGAGATTTGTACCTTTGTATTATGAATTGTTGCAGGAGAAAACGAATGCAAAGGAAGAATATCAAAGGTATTAGAATGGTTCTGGTTCTCGTACTTTATATAACACTAGTTACTAAACGAAATTAAGGTGAATAATGAAAAATATTTCGATATATGATTTTAAAAACTGAATACAAATTAATAGTTCCTAATGTAAGGTGATGTGGAAATGGAATTCAATTAATATCTACTATAATAAATAAATCATCTCTAATAAATGAAAGTTTTTTTGCCACTTGTCAACTCTCATTCAATTTGTCAAATATCATTTTATGGTTATTTTAAATTAATTTTTTTAACACATGTCATTTTATGAGTTTTTGTATTTTATTAAATTTCACATAATACTTTAATATAATAATTGCAATAAATGTTGTAATCAATGGATATCAATTTCATTAATGAACTTACATTTACTTTCGAAATTCTCAAAATTAAATCTTATTAGTTTCTTTTATTCATTTAAATTATTTGTTTAAATTTAAAAGATAAAAACATTTCTATTATAATAATTCATTATTTTTCTTATAAATTCAAAGTTCTCAAATATTTTGACTTTTATATTTAACTTTTGTTTTAAATTAACTCATGTAATACATGAGTCTCACAACTAGTCTACTATAATAAATGAAGATAATTTTGTCATTTGTGTCATTTTGTGATATTTTTAAATAAATAATATCAATATGTCAACCTATGGTTTTTTTCAATTTTTAAAATTAAAAAGCCACATAATACTTATACTTATGTATGTAAAGTATCAAATGTAATAAATATTATATTAAATTGCAATTAATATGTTTTTTCATTCTTTATTTCAAAATTTTATTTTAAAAAATACTTATTATTTACATTTTATTATTTTATTTTCTTTAATCAACTCGTGTAATACACGAGTTTTACACTTAGTTTCGTAATATAACGTCATTAATCATTAATCATTAAAGGAAAATATTATAGTATTTAAAATTTAAAAAATTTAGAACTAAATAATATATTACTAGGTGTGATCCCGTGTATTACACGGGTTGATTTAAAAAAAGATTAAACATTAAATTGAAATGTAAACAGAAAATATGTTTTGATGTACAACTTTATAATAAGAAAAGAAGAAACGTATTTATTGCAATTTAATATCATATATATGATATTTAATACTTTACATATATAAGTATGATTTTAATTTTAAAAATTGAAACAAATCAAAAATTGACAAGTGGATAATATTTATTTCAAAAATACCACAAAATGATAAGTGTCAAAACTGATAAAAGATTGACATGTGGCAAAAAAACATTTATTTATTAAGGATGATACTTTGATTTCGTCAAAATCTTTTGAATTTATTATCTTTACATCTTTTTGAATTAGTTAATATTGTTTAGTTTTTTGGAAAGATGAGGTATATCTTTAAATTTTTTGAAATTCAAGTATGTAAAGACTGGATATTGTTTATATGTTAACAAAATAATGCCTAGTTTGTAGGGTTTCATAAATGGAAGGCACAATATAGCCGTAGACATTTTCTTTTATGTTATCATGTATCTGTTATTTAATTATATCACCTTATAATTTGTTTTAATTTTATAATTTAATGTAATTAGTTGTGTTATAGACATGAGAAATTTAAGTTTAAAATGAAGAATCAATAGATTGACACGTAACAAATATTAATTGGCAGGTTTAATAGAACAACACATGACAAAAAAATCATTTTTTTATTAGTATAGAAAAAAATGTAACACAATTAATGGAATTTTTTGTTATACAATAGGAACAAAAAACTTAAATTTAATTACGTTGGGTACTGGCTTCAAAACCAATTTTAGCTGTCTTTTTTGTAATGTTTTTTGATCTAACTAGTTTTTAATATAATGTATTCTACCGTTAAAAAAAAAGATAGACCTATGTATGTATAGTGACAAATCTTTATAATATGTAAGAATTTATATAATGTTAACATGAAGTAATCACTCAGAGGTCCCACATCATGAATACTCGAATATGACATGACTTTAATTAACATAATGTTTTGATGTAGGTTTTGTTTTGAACCACAAGACACCATAAGGTTGAAGGATGTAACATTTGAACATGAGTAAACTCTATTTTGCAGTGTTTTATACTATACATGTGATCACCACCAACGGTGGTATAGTGTCTCATTATAGGAAAGATAGTATAATATATATAACACAACTCCAAATAAATGTCACAAGGTATCTTCTATAAACTGTACGATTGAACTTCCAAACACACAAAATCCTAAAGGAACAAGGGAAAAAGAAAAGGCTTGAACACACACAATCTATGCAGTAACCTCAATGATCTGAGGACCAAGATACTCGATTCTATCCATTTCCGACTCTTTAGGCATCTCGATCTCCTCTAACCATTGGTAGCACTTGCCATCTTCTTTTGGAATCGTCATTTCTTCACCTAAAAAACATCCAATTAATAAATTAACTATCAAGAATTTATTTTTGAGTAAAATTGGAAAATGCAGTTACAACTTGGAGTTGATTGTTAGAAATATGGTTTAGTGGCATTTGGAAATCTGAGAATCGTGATAAAACACTTTCAAATCGAAGTATTTGGGTGGTACTCCCAAATCCTCAATTGGATAAGACTCAGAGAAAATAAGAGAGAAAGAAAGAGAATAAGATGGTGTAATTTCGTGAGTACCAGAAAACTGACTAAAAATTGGTTATAAACCTTCCTTATCTGAAAAACTGTCAAAACTGTCATATAACAGTTTTTCTCAACAGTCAAAACTGTTATAAATCCGGGTTTTGTATAAGGATTAATGCTAAGCCAGGGGCTCTGCCCCTTAGACCCCGCCAGGGGCTGCCGCCCCTTGGACCCTGCTCCCAGGGGCGCTGCCGGACCCCCATTCGTTTAGGGGCTTCGCCCCTAAATGACAGTATACTTTGATACTTGATCAAACTTAAACAAGTGTGTACTCCACACCTTCCTTACTTGTTTAATATTTATCAAGATCATTTTTAGTCAAGTAATCCCATTACACTTAAATAACATTGATGATAACAAATCACCAACATTGATTACTTACATGGTGATACAATATACGGGATTTCTTTATAGTATGAGCAGTCTCGACCATCTTTTTTTGAGTATGGAGGTCCGACCACATCCAGAATCATGCATGGTGAGATGGCTGTGAAGGCATGTATGTTGCCTCCTGATGTTGGGTATAATACACACGTGTTGCATGGAGCTGTAAACACGTTATCTAATTTCAAGCATGCCAATTTTTCTGCATAATATACCCACAAAAGACACATTATTATAATGAACAAAAAACTTTCTGCATAGTATACGATTTATATGTGTGTTTGTAAAGAGGACTAATTACTTTGAGATAAAGATGGAGGATTAATTAAATCGTATGCTTTAATGTGCACTTTGCCAACCAAAAGCTTGCTAAAAACCGTCATTCCTGGATGATTATGGAGAGGTATGACTGCATTTTCCGGCAAAAATAAAATATATAACTGCAAAAATGGATGAGATCGATTAAAAATAGAATTGAAGTTCAGTGGGTATTTTGATACTGTAAGCCCAAAAGGCCAAAACATCGGCCTAATTCAATAACGAAATAAACCAAAGCAGTTATGGAAATTATTAGGTTTATATACAAATATAAGAAGATTAACTAGTTAATTTCTTGTGATAATTACCGAGAAGTTATGGCACTGGTAAATGGAGGTGTATACTACTACGCTGTTATCGGGATCAAAAAATTGCAAATTTCTTGGCAATCCAAAGTCTTCTGGTATCATACCATCTGCAATATGATAAGATAAAACCTTTGATAAGTATCATATGTGTGTATGTACATGTGTGTAACATAATATTGAAGTCAAGTGTATGTTACCAAGGAAAGAATTGAAGTAAGAAGTATCAACTGATACATATTGTACTCAACATAGCTAATATCAATGAACTTTTTTTTTTACTGGTAGCAATTTTTATGAAACACATATCGTTTTTAAGTCTTTTGATAATATTATAAGTGATAAGTTAGAAGAATGATATTAGTGTATATACAAGTTCAAATAAAAATAATTAACTTTCTGGACTATTTTATGAAATCGGATGATGTTATTCCAAATTTTACATATAGGACCCCTAGTCTACTAATGTTGTCCTATAATTAAATGAATGGATATAGATGTATGTAAGCCCATAATTGGTATTTTAGTTTATTCTAGAACTGGTAACCAATGCATCTGTTAGCAAAATTAGGGTTTTAATAGCTTTTTCAAGAAAAGTGTACCATATTTTGTTGTGAAATGATCATAAGCAAATTTTAGTGTATCTCTATCAAGATTAATATATATGTTTCAACTTGGCTAATTTAATTAACTAAAGTTAATTTTGATATTCAAGAGTTCATATTAACTTACTTTCAAATCTCATTGAGTTGATTTTCATCTTCATCAAAACTTTAATTGCATAGGTTCTCCAAATTAGACTTATAATATATTTACTATTTTATGTAAACATTACATAAAATGTAAACAAATATAAGTTTGCTGTATTGAAAGATTATCAGTTTAATTAGTTATAAAAGAATATGATACATATATGCACTGATATATAAATTATCAGTTTACCAATTCTATATAAGGTTCGATTAATATTTAAGTAATTATATAATAATATTAATGAGGGACACTTAACTAAAGGATAAGAAGAGATCACACACCGAGAATACGGCGGAGCTTCTGGTCGTCGGAAGGCGAGGGAACGGTGCCAACGCCTTTGAAAACATCTAAACAAGACATATAAAGTCTCTGCAACGGAAACATTACCGGTGGCGATCGTATCATCTTCATACTGGTTTCGCGGCAGCATCTCTTCCTTCTTCTTCTCTTACTCGTATCATCAGCCTTAGTAATTCTTCGCTTTTGATTTGATTGCTTCACTTGATCACTCGTCATCGTTCGATCAAAAACAAGATTTAAAACTTCTCAAAATCAATCAACAGGCTTCCATCCTTCGATCCTATGACAAATATAATAATATGAACTGGTTGCCTTATAAGTAGTAAGGAAGACAACTGTTGATCTATAGCCTGGAAATTTCATGTGCGGAAAACATGGAGTTGAAAAAGTGGGATGGGAGGGAAAACCAGGGGCGCCATGGATGGAATGATAGAAATGCCCGATTCATCCCGTTAACCGTCCACTGTTTACATGAATGACAGAAATTACTGTTATGCCACAGTGCTTAGATATTTTGCTGTATCTGGTAATTGCATTAACACCCCTCTGCTTTCAAAATATCGACCTTTAACCCCCAAGTATTGTCCCTTTGTGTAGTGAGAGTCCATGGATACATTTGTTGGATGCGACTAGAGAGTAGTTGGAACCAGGTTATCAGGTTGTGAAGATTGATATCTATTACTAAGAATTATTTATGTTTTGTAAAATCGGATTGAAATCGAAAAATCCTATAAAAATAAACAAATATTTATATTTGCTCGCAAAGTCTTATGTGTAAAGTAATTATTATTTAATGTTAATAAGACTTTGATAGTAAATTAACTTTAACATCTTAAACATTAACTATAATTTTTGTTGTCTTAAAAATTAAAGAAGAAAAAACATCTTACTCAGAAAAAAAAATTTGGTCATGTACAACTAAAGACTTAAGATATCAAAGGGATTATTATGAGTGATTTCTGCGTAAAAATTGATGAAATGACGTTTTACGAAACTACTTGCAACGTGCGATACTCAATTAGAGTTTAATAGATGAACTTTTCCGACTCAACTATATAATAAAACTACAAAGGTGAGATCGGGATCGTAGTGTCATGGGGATCGTTTTTCACTTGTAGGATATTAAAATCATAAACAAAAAGATCCATCTCAAACTAGTAAAAAAAATTAAAACCGAACCAAACGAGACCAAACCAAAAAGAGACGGGTCCCAAAAAAGAATGAACCGTTCCGAGACCAGTCCCTAAAAGGTCGAACCGCTCCCAAAAAAAAAATCACTACATTTCTGTTCGCCATCTGAAGACTTAAATAGGTTTTCGATTCTGATTAGATGACCCCTGCAACCACTTCAAATTGTCATCTCTACAACCACTTCAGTTATCATTACTATGCTAGTTGACCCCTGGTTAATAAGCTAGATACTCAAGTTCAGAATGATGATAGGGGGTTTGTCATAGATGATGAGATGAATATGAATTTTGGTGGTACTAATTTTGAAAATTTTGTAACTCTTGTCTTGGCTTCTTCACTTTTAGATGATGAAAGTGAATTAGATAAGGAGATTGAGTCATTGTCAATAACGAGGAAGGATTATAGGGTGTTGAATCGAAAGCTTAACATGTTGGTTCGTCATGGAGAATCATTTTATTCAAATGTTTGAACAACAATGATTTCTATTCATGAAGAAACAATCAAGATGTTGCTTTCGTAGAATGAGAAGTTGGTTTCTGTAACGCCCTATTTTGAATTGTTTCCCATTGCGGGGTGGTGATCAAGGAGTGGGTATTAGCAGGCTTAGAACCCTTGAAGAATTAAGGTTTGGGATCATTTGGAGGTCGATGATTTAATTTGGATGATCCGGGTATTCGGTTTGTGTTTTGGAGCCCAAGGGTATCGGTAAAGGCGTTGATTAGGGACTTTTATAATTTTGGATTTAACTTCGGTTGGTTTTCAGACTAAATAAAGTTTATAAAAAGTGTAAGGCTTCTCGTGACCTTTCCGTGGATATAAAGAACGTCGAAAACGGATAAGGGATGCAAAAGTTATGATCATTTGAAGTTAGAAGGGTTTGGACCAAACCGGGTACGCATGGCGTACACATGAATTTGGATGTGGGTGCATGTGGGAACACCCTGCGTTCGTCAGACCAGATTAAAACCCTAATTTAGGGTCTTGGACCCTATTTAAACACCTTAACTCACCTCCAACCCTCATTTCCTTCAGCCTCCATCCTCTCTAACCCTAAGAACGAAACCCTATCCTCTATTTGAGTATTTCTTAAGCTTCATGGTGATTTTGTGTGTTTTTGGTGCTTGAGGAGGAAGAAGGAACTTCTTGAAGAGTCATTGCTTGACTTGGAGCTTTTGGATCCAGGCCTTGTGCACCTAGATCTATCTTCTAGAGGTATAAAGTCTCAACCTTGAAAACTCTTTCATGTAGATCTAGCTAAGTGGTATTTTGTTATGGTTTTGGTCCTTTTGAGGTGGTTCTTGTGAGTAGAAGTTACTCCAGAACCATTGAGCTTCATAGTTGGTCCTTGTTGAGGTTATGGAGTCATAAAGTTTGGATCTTGATGGGTATAAACCTTCCATGCATGATTTGGTAGTCATTTGATGAAGTTTGGGACTTAGGGTTTTGAATTGGGTCCCATTGAGTTATGCTAAGTCATAAAGTTAGGAACTTTATGACTTAAGAAGTCCCTTGATATCAGAGCTGGAATTTTGGATTGAGGTCTTAACGTATTAAGAAGTTTTAAGACATTTTTGGAGTAATTTTGACCTTTAGAGCTCATCTTTGGTGATTGGGCTTCATTATGTCATGCAAAGGCTTAAAGCCTTCGACTTTATGGATTAAGTCGCTTATATTTAGCTATTCTGGGGTTTTGGGCGTTTGGCTTAAAGGATTAAGTCATTTGAATGACTTTTGGGTGGCCGCCGGGAACGCCGTGCGTACCGTTGGGGAACGCCGCGCGTTCCGGCTATGATGCCCATTTTTGGACCAGCGACGTACGACGTGCGTACAAGCCATGTACGCCGTGCATGCGTCTGATCAGATGGGTATTAGGCTTTATGGACTTGGACTCTTTGGAATAGGCTTCGGTTGGGCTGGGTTGTTTCTTTGGGCTATGAATTATTTGTTTGGGCCTTAGGTTTGGTTTGGGCCCCGGGTTGTGTTGTTGGGCCGTTAGTGGGCCTTGGGCCAAGTATGAGTTGGGCCCATTAAGGAAAAGGGTAAAATGGTCTTTTACCCTAGGGTCCGGGACTTATGAGTTGAGACCACGGTTAATGGATTATGGCATAATTATCAATTAGGATTTATTTGTTGTTAGTTGGCGCAAGGTTTTCCGGTTCAGCGGTGCAAGCAGTCATTTGCGTATCAGGGGATTGAGGTGAGTTTTCCTCACTGTACTCAAGGGTCTAAGGCACCAAGGTCAGCCCTTTGGATTTTTATCCTGGTTTATCTTATGATTGAGTACTGTTATGATCTGTTAGATCGATATCATGGTAGATAGGATGTTGTTATGCTGCTATGATCTGTTAGATCGATATCCTGGTAGATAGGATGTTTCTATGCTGTTATGATCTATTAGATCAGTATCCTGGTAGATAGGATGTTGTTATGCTTAGTGATCTGTTTGTCTAGCTGTAGACTGTCATATGATTATCTGTTATATGTGCATATGTTTGGTCGGTGGCTGAGGCTTCACTGCTCTGTGCGTAAGCCAACAGGTCGGGGCATTCCAACCCAATGGTTGAATGGGCCCGAGGGTATTCCATCCCGGGGATGAGTGGACCAATAGTATGTTGGCATTCCAACCCGATGGTTGAGGGCCTGGGGTATTCCAACCCGATGGTTGACTGGATCCATAGTATGTTGGCATTCCAACCCGATGGTTGAGGGCTTGGGGTATTCCAACCTGATGGTTGACTGGACCCATAGTATGTTGGCATTCCAACCCGATGGTTGAGGGCCTGGGGTATTCCAACCCAATGGTTGATTGGACCCATAGTATGTTGTTTGTGATATATGTTATTTGTTGTATGTTGGTACTTTGGGGGAACTCACTAAGCTTTGTGCTTATAGTTTTGTTTATGGTTTCAGGTTCTTCAGATGATTCGTGGCAAGGCAAAGGCGTGACCGTACACACCCTTGATTTACAACAGAGTGGATCTTGGGAGACTCTGATTTTAAATCATGTTTTGGGAAACAATGTTTTTGTGAACACTTTTGTTAATAAATGGGTTGTTTAGAAAAGTTTAAATTTGATGAAATTTTTGGGATGTTACAGTTTCAGAAAACAAGAAATTGGTTTTAGAGCATGAAAAAAAGATGGAGGCTTCTATTAATGAAATCAAGGAGCTTCACAAGATTATCTTGAATGATAATGTTGTCCACAATTCATCAATTGCGAATCCAATTTAAGGTTCGACTCATAATTTTAAATCTGAAATTGCGATGGTGGTGCAGCTTGAAAGGAAAAATGAGAAGATAGCCTTACTCAAACAAGAACTTCATTTTGTCAGTGTAGATTTGGCGAAGAAAGATGATGAGCTTCTTCTGGTGAATACATGTAATTTCGAGATTAATTAAAGGCTCACGAAGATTGTTGAAGATAAGGATGCTCCTTATATAGATTACATTTCTGCTCTGCTTCATACGAAACTTCAACCCCTCTTTTCAAAATTGTCATTTACTGAAGGTGTTCCGACTAGAGGGGATACTTAACAACAATGGGGATAATGGGTAAAAATGATGAATACTTATGTTGTGCCTACGATGGCTAAGAAGGCCGAAACTTATAGATTAGGGACAAATAGTTTTCAACCGTTGGAGAAAAAGTTAAAGAATTTTGATCCTATTAGTTTTTGTGTTCTTACAATTGTGAATCAACCTAGAGAGAATGTAGAAGCAGACCAAAACAAGTCTAATGAGGAGTTAGAGAAGTTGAGGCAATTGGAAATTGAGCTAAGGCGGAATGAGGTTGAGCAAAGGGACAAAGAGGTTGCAGAACTCAATTTGAAAGCTCTATGACCAAAATGGACTGTGGAAACGATGATGGACTTGGCAATCAAGCATGCTGAACAGTATTGGCTCAACCCGAGATCATCATTTATATTGGAAATCAAAATTGATTATCAGTTGGATTTTCCAATAACTTTGAAGGAATTTTCATGGAGGAGTTTTCTGAATACATATAGAGTCCCAATGAACAATCG